CCGCCAGTTGGACCTCCTGGTGAACCAACATAAGAGCTATCCCAGCGTTGTCACCTGGGTGTGTATCCCCCTCCCGATTGGACAACGCGAAAATGCTGACGTCGGCACAGGTGATCTATAACGAAGGATGGGGCCAAATCCGGTTCCCGTATCCCGAGTTTGAATTGACGGAGCGTGTGCGAAAGCTGGACCCCACTCGATTGATCAGTTCGACGTCGGGTTGGTATGACCACGGGGATGGCGATTTCAGCGTAAGTGGCTCAGGATCTCGCACTGCACCATATCCTTTCTACGGACAGTGAGCTAAGAAGACCAGGACAATCACCACTATGCAAACCCCCAGTGCGGCACGCCGTTCTACTCTCTTGATTCGAGTCCACATGACTCGTCCCGGATTGGATTCCAGGGTGAATTCGGCGGCATCGGCCACAACGTGTCCATCGAGCAGTGAGTCCCGGGTCCCTGTTTATAGGATATCTATGGTAACTGACCACTGAGTGAAGTTTGTGGAATGAGCCGGGTCCCATCAACGAGATCAACCGGACGTACGAGATCGACACTTCTTTGGACGCGTGGAACTACCGCGGCCACGTACTGCTCACAGAGCTGCACGATCAGATAGAACGATTTGAGTGCAGCGGCGGTGTCTGGACGCAGACAACCGATGTAGAAGGCGAGACGAACGGTCTGATGACATACGACCGTCGGATTAAGCGCGTAGACGAGGCACAGTGGAAGGCAGACATCAAGGCCTTGTATGATGCGGCCAAGGCTAGGGTATAGCGGGGTGTGGCGTCGACGGTGGCATTAGACCACGATGCGTGTTGTTGTTATCTTTGTGCATGGATATATACTTGTCTAAGTATATAGTGCCTTCTTTCGCTTCCATGGATTTAATTCTCAAACCGATGTGTTGTATTGTTCCAAGTGATCTGACTATGATATCAATCAGGTGGGATACAGTATCAATTAATACCCGGCCAACCAGACTGATCAAAGTTTGCTGGGAGGCCACGCAATCCCCCGTCGGTAGCGCAGATCCCCACAATTCCTGACCGAGGGAGGGTGGTACGTCTGCATGTATATTCGGTGAAACCGGATTGGCGACGTGGTCGGCATGCCATCGGATGACGAGTGAAAAGTGTCAGCAGGTGGACGGGCAGATGTAACCCAGGGAAAGGTCAGAACCAATAACGGGTGTGAAGGACGTATTGGGCGCATACTGTAACACTCTGCAGGTCAAATACATGGCGTTCTCGCTGGACAAGGTGGGTGTCATTCATTGTTCGAGGTGTGAAAGAATATGACGAGGGCGTCGTCACATTCCAGGGTTAGGGCTCACCATGCTTGTTCTTCCGACCGGGGAACGATCGGCGGAACCTTTTCATTGATCTTGCATCTATTGAACCCCTGTTTGAGACGGGTGAAGGAAGGTAAGCCATTGTTCAGGGATATTCTAGGCGTGTTGCACGGTCTGATACCCAGGCCCATCATCTAGACTGGCATTCTGGGTAGTCCGCTCTGTTAATTGACCGGCTCTGTGCCTGGTGCGGATCGTTTTGATGTATAACACGGCTTGGGGCATGATTGTGCATGTAGCGTCCCGTTTGAAGCGCTGCCTGTGAGTGATGGCTTTTGATGAGCATTGTCCGGTAAGTGTGGAAATAGACTGACCCCCATTGTCCCAAGCTGGCCCTCCTTGATCCACCTCGTATCGACATAAACACTGTCAATACATCCGCAGTAGTCGGTGGCTGCGCCCGTAGGGGACAATCTGGCAGGTTCATGTATCTGTTTCCTCGCTGAGATCTTTTATACCTTCCGGTGGGACGAGCGGGGCCATCTCTGAGTCTAAAATCGGTAGATGACTACTACGTAGTAGATCATGGCAACATACCTCGATTTGTATCGACGCTCTTTTAACTTTCGGGCCCGTCCTGTATGCGTGTGTTGTTCTTGCCCTGGATATTGCCCACGGTGATGTTCAAATCAGCTCGACTGCGGCAAGTACGGTCCTTGGATACATTTTTCCGCTGGTAGTATGATGCTTCCGGTCAACCTCAAACACATCGCACTGCCGAAATAACCCCTGTTCTTGTCAAAGCTTTACTTTTACCATTTACCCCCTAATTAATATCGATGCATGGGGCTCAGCAGAAACCCGACAGAAACTAAATACGGTTTTGGGAAATCTCGACGCTCCCCGGTTGACGGTTTCGCTCCGTCTCCCATGGAGACACCTTGACCGAGATCTGTCTTGACCGATGCGCAATCATCTATGCAGCAACCTTCCGCCCTGACATATTGGACGATTTGCACCCGGAGGGCTTCGGTTTGGACAAAGACCACGGTGAACATTTGCCTATCACCTGCGATGGACGGTGGCATGTGAATTTAAACCCCCTCAAAGTCAGGCTCTCACATCTACGACGTTTCCACTTTGGCCAGTGTATGAAGGCTTAGCGTGATGAGCGAGCGTTGCTTGCTCGCGGTATGTCAAAATCTATATGGTCTATCGCAGTGGATTTGGATATACCACAGTGTATGGCTTTACAGAAGAGCGGTATACAAGCAACCTCGAGTGCTGGGCTACGGATTGGGAGGTCTTTTTGAACCTCCATACAACTATTTGCCGACGCTGTGCTGGTAGTACGGAAAGTGAATATCCTCCAGCGGACTTCTACCATCAAGAAAGAACTATCACCATACCCAGTCATGGACGCTTCTCTGCGCGTCTCACAAGTACACTAGACTCACTAGAAACAATTAGGATCTGAGCATATCTTTTAGCTCCGTGACAACACACCTACCTATCCACTGTTGATCACTCCATCCGGTCTAAAACAATATCCTGATTACGGTGATTATGGAACCAGGTGCAGACGGCACGATCCAGACCCGGTGACTATGGTTCTGGTCTTGACCTACCAGGGAACCAATTTTTCTCCCGTTCTTGACGTCGATATCAACTCCCCACCATCCATCTCCACGTCACCTGCAGGCTTATTTTGGGGACATCAGTCATATCCAACCTCACCAGCCTTTTGGTGCGGTCGATGGGAGACCTTATTTCGCCTAAAAACCCATACTTTCCAAGCTTAACAGATCCACGTTGGTTTCAATTGATTGATGCAGTCATGTTCGGAGGGCCGCGCTCGCACGTCGATCGACCAAGGTTGAACCAACTACCTTGCTTTTATTCATGCATGACTTCCACCTGCAGCCAAAAATGACTTCAGCAAAGCTGTATTCAAGTGCTTTACGAGTTGCCGCAAGTAGCTATCATCATAGCATCCATCTGCATCGTTGGAAAAGCAGACCCATGAAAGTGGACTGTATGATCACCATTATTCACTTAATGATAGCTATATAGTGCCGCATGCAATGTCTGTCTGGTCTGGGATAGGTGTGAGTATTAAATAGTTACAGGCAGACTCAACTGCCCGATGATCTCTCAGAGATGGCTGATGTGGAAGACTCTATTAAGCACCTACTATCACTGTAATCTGACTTTCTAATACAATGGCAAAGCGAGCTATAGCGAGTTTGTCTGGCGTGATAACCACCAGTGTACAGTGACAGAAGCGTGAGGTCATGTGTATAGTTGCCCACCCGAGGCACCTACTGCTGATCTCGAAGCCGCTCACATTATTCCATTTAACGTGGAGAGTTTTCCAGAGGAGGAGCGACGACGACATGCACAGATATGGAACTGTTTATACCGTTGTTACCCAACTATTTGTGGACTTTTTAATCACTGCGAGGAAGATGTCAGCCGGACTGACAATGCAATGAGGATGATATCGCCTCTTCATCAAATGTTTTGCTAGCTCTCATTCATTCTGAAGACCATCTCTGGTCGCTACCATGTCGAAGTCTTTCCCCAATTTCGAATCTTCTCCCTATCTCACATGGCCGACCTTGTCACAGTGGCAAGTCATGACACCAGAAATCTTGTTCCCAATGGGTTTCTACTCGCTGTGCACACCGTGGTTGGTAATATTCTGCTTGCAACTGGGCGTGGTGGACTGATCTTGAAGAAAACCATGCAGCATCTCGGAGCCAATGGCGGCCACGCTATCGCGGAGGACGGAGCACCAATGTGGAACGATTATTCTCTGTAACCAGGCTTCACTACTATCAATGAATTCCAGCCATCATTTGCGCTCCTGCGAGGGAAGTTCTTTTCGTCATGTTCAGTCCAGGCGTCGTTGGGTAGAAAACTTGCCGCCAAGTGTTACTGACAAGCGACCAAGTGATCAAGTGATCAGGTCATCAAGTTATCAGATAAAAATAAGATTATATGCTTTCGGAGGATGATAGAAACATGACTGGGTTTATAGATATGATAGAATAGATCGAGAATTGTACTTACAAAATATCGATCACTAGTATTAGGAAAATATATTAACAAATTTGGATACCTCGCCTGACCCCGTCATGACTCACAAAAGTATAGCATGAACATGTCTTTCCTCCTTACATAAACTTATATAGATAGCTGTGAGAATTATTGGATATTGTTAAGATATTGATTTCTTGTGACTTTCCTATCTTTGTTTGCTGCACTAAATCTCCATATATATATCTACATAAATCCCATCTAGTCCCCGAAAATCGCTACACCATGTGGGTTTCTATAGCATAAATATACTATCATCAGGCTATTTCATTTACAAACCGTGTAATCGATCATGTCTAGTATGATGGGGCCGATTCGTCAAATAGCACGAGCATCCTGTATACCCACATAACAGCGGTGAACATGCAGACACGCCGATCACTGCAATAAATCAATGCAGCAACAGTAGAGACGCAAAGCAAGGACCGCTATTGCAGACATAGCAGTGAGGGCGAATTATTCTGGACAGAATCGACAATTATCACGATGCTAATATATCAACAAATCAAAAACAAATCTGCGATATGGCCCGATCAGCAGGATGAGTTAAACCCCCCATTCCCGCCCCCGCACTTCTCCATCGTCTCCTTCCCGTCTCGCCAACTTCAACCACGTCCACCATGGGCCAGATCCTCAGTCGCCTCCGCAATGTATACCATGATATCCAGGCAGTGTTCACGGAGCTCTCCACCACTGCCCGCCAATTCGAAGCATTGCTGTCGCGCATCTCCCTGAGAACATTACCATCTCCCAACCCCACCGTCTCTTTCTGGCAGCAAAATCCCCCATTCCCCAACCTGGTCTCGACCGCATCGGCAACCCTCCCCGCTCACGCAGACATCGTGATCATTGGGTCTGGGATATCAGGCGCAAGCATAGCTTACACCATCCTCACCTCCCGATCGCGCGACAATGACTTCAAGCACCACTTCCCGCGTGTAGTCATGCTCGAAGCGCGGAATGTGTGCAGCGGCGCGACGGGACGCAATGGCGGACACATCAAGCACACCGCGTACACGGACTATGCTGGCTTGAAGAAACAGTTCGGGAAGACGCGCGCAAAAAGCGTTCTGCAGTTCGGGAGGCGCCATCTGCCGACGTTGCTCCATTTGACTCGGGAACGGAAGGATCTGGAGGTCGCAGAGGCGAGGGAGGTTGAAACGGTTGATATATTCACCGACCAGGATACGTGGGCAAAAACAAAGAGGATGGTGGAGGAGCTGAACAGGGATGTGCCTGAGGCGGGGGACGAAATTTCCGTGTATGAAGGGGCGGAGGGGTGTGAGGTACGTACCGCCGCTCAGGACCGGCACGACGGGTTGTCGCTACCCACGGAGAAGTGCGAAGGCTCATGATGGAATAGAAGTATAACGTCGGGGTCGACCACTGTGTCGGGATTATCACGTATCCGGCCGGTGCGATGTGGCCGTATCGATTTGTCACGGCCCTGTTATCCGGCCTGCTGGCCGACTACAGCGAGTACTTCTCCATCGAGACCAACACCCCCGTGACGGAGGTCCAAACCAGCCCCACTGGCGCTGGACATCCGTACACGATATATACTCCCCGCGGACACATCAGCGCCACGCAGGTAATCCACGCGACGGACGCGTTCGCATCGAACCTAATCCCTGGTCTGACGGGCAAGCTTTTCCCCGTCCGGGGACACATGTCGGCGCAAACTCCCGGAACGCAGTTTCCGGGCCTCAACGGCGCGCGGTCGTGGGGGATTATTGGAAATCGCGGATTCGATTACATTACGCAACGGCCCGCGGCCGGGGGCGGAGAGCTGATGGTCGGCGGGGGGATGGTGCAGTCTCCCGAACGGGGGATCGACGAGTTTGGGGTGTGGGGGGACGACCGGCTGAGCTATCCCGTGCGCGCCTACCTCGACGGCTTAATGCCGGCTGTCTTTGGGGAGAAGAACTGGGGCCAGGATGCGGACGGCGGGCGGATGAAACATGTGTGGAGCGGGTGCATGGGGTTCACGGTGGATCTGCTGCCCTACGTTGGGAGGCTGGACCCGAAGCTCACGGGGCGCAAGCTGCCTAAGAGGAGTCGCTGGGATGGCTCGCGCACCGCCGGGGAGTGGATATCGGCGGGGTTCCAGGGTGAAGGCATGGTACTGGCGTGGCTCTCGGGCGTGGCGGTTGGGTTGATGGCGATGGGGATGGACGAGGTGGAGATGGACGCTCGCCCGGGAATGCCGGGAGGTAAAGTGAGTGAGTGGCTCCCACGAGAGCTGCTTTGTTCGAGGCGTCGCGTTGAAAGAGGGAGTGTGTCACAGTTGGCGACAATGCTATAGATTCCTGGGTGGGAGTGGAATGGTGCTGATCCTCTCGCTGATACCCGATGTTTCTACAAAGTCATGGCCTCATTATGTGGAGGCTGTTTCGACGAGATGAACTATCCAGCCACGTAGAGGTAGTCGACTCAGAAATGATCAACACGCCATGTACCATAAAGCTTCCCCACCAACCAGATCGAGACATGACCTCACGGTAGAGCTGCACATATCCCCTGTGGCCACCCGAGCAACCTAATAAACACATCCAATCAGACCGTTTCATCGATCCAAGTGTTGACGGCGTGATCTGGCATGGAACGGCCCACGGTCCTCCGGGCAAGTCTGTGCTGGTCCACACCTGGAATCCGTCCCTGCATCTTAACCTTTGGATTATATTGGATCTCTGGATTAAAGTGTGAGGGGGAAGACTCGTGACCTTATCCATCTGGCCAGTTGGCAGGCAACGGGTCAGGCAGGGAACACGTGATCCCCTCTTTCTTTTCCCTTCATTTTTCTCTCTTTTTTGCGTTTTTTTCTTTCATTCTTTCTGCCCCCTCATCTCCCCCTCCTTCATCATTATCATCCCTGTCATTGACGGGTCGAAATGGCCTCTTTCCATCTATTCAAAGGATCTAGACTGAGCGAGTGGTTAGAACAAAGACAAATTTATCCAAGGTCAGATCGTGCGTTTGGGTTAGGCCTCTCTGCAGCCATGGTTGACCCATCTCCACCCCCGGATTCATTGGCGGTTCTTAGTGAGCTCTGGAGAGGGGTCAGGATTAACTCTGCCGTGGCTGAATGGCTGAACGCCGACGGCCCCCAACCAGTCGGCCATCGCCGCTTGTCCCGCTTGCTCAGCGTCGCAGCCCTCTAGCGCTTCCACTAATGCCGTAGGATGGTTACAGTGACATGGGCAGGGCCGCCTATGCCACTCATCAGGATTGCGCCACTGTGGTCATTCCCGCCTTGACCTCGTCAAGCTTTAAGCCTTCGGATTGGTGGCGTGTCAATCGTGGTGGGATGGGCTGACTTAAGGATGGGAACCCCGGGAGGGGGTGGGGGGTGAAAAGAGTTGGAGGGAAAGGCAGCGCATGGCTTCAACGACACCGCATCATGGATATGAAACCAGAAGGGTCTTCTTCTCTCGTCCCCCACACTCGCTTCCTGAGTCAGCCTGGAGAGGTTCCACTTTCGAACCACTCTCTCCGTGATCTGGGGTCTGGGGTCGGGGGTCGGGCCCATCTGACACCCCCTGTCCCTTCGCCAATGAGAAGAACCACTGGACTGCAGTTCAAGGTCCGGCTAACCACTAGTCGAAACAGACATTAATCCTTCTGTTAAACAAGCCAACCAGGGTCGTGATCCGAGTCATTTCTGATTCGATGCAACTTCGCCATTGCTCGGGTCCACCAATAACCGGACGTCCATGACAGCCACCGGACACTGTCAGGAGATGTGTCGACCCGTTCCAAAGATCCAGTCTCATCTCTCCACTCATGCGGTGAGCTTCTCAGCTGCGGGGGTAGCATCCGTCCCATCTGGGGGTTCCTCCGACCGACCTGTCCCGATCGAGATCTCTATAATATGGCCTTCCCCTCCCTGCTGCGGACGAAAATTTTCGTGAACTGCTGTCTCTGCTCCGACCTGTCACTCGGGATTGTCTCGCCTGCCGATCGTGTTTTGTGTCTGTCCAATTGCCTCCGGGCTGCCCCGTCATAATCATGTTGGTCGGCAATATCTATGTAATTTCGGGCATCGCCGTCGTGGGCGGTGCCCTCTTTGGGTTCGACATTTCGTCCATGTCCGCCCAGCTGAATGAACAGTCCTATCTCTGCTACTTCAACCAGGGTCCCAAGGGCCCGCCCTTTACTGAAGAGCAGTGCTCCGGTCCCCATTCCTTGGTGCAGGGTGGTATCACCGCTTCCATGGCTGCGGGTTCGTGGCTGGGTGCGCTTATTTCCGGTATTCTGTCCGATCGACTGGGACGCAAGTACACCATCATGATCGGCTGTTTGATCTGGTAAGCCCGGTGGATTCTCTTCGAACGACCCCAGAGCTGATCATTCTAGGCTCGTCGGCTCGACTATCATCTGTGCCTCCCAGAACATCGGCATGTTAGTCGCCGGGCGTGTCATCAACGGTCTAGCCGTGGGTATCGAGTCGGCCCAGGTACCGGTGTATATTAGTGAGCTGGCGCCGCCATCCAAGCGCGGTCGCCTGGTCGGTGTGCAGCAGTGGGCCATTACGTGGGGTATCCTAACTATGTTCTAGTATGGTCTTTGTCCTCCCCCATAGCCGTGCGTGCTGACTGACCTCCCGCAGTATCTCTTACGGATGCTCCTATATTGGCGAAAAGGATTTCAGGGGATGGAAGGCCGCCGCGTGGCGCGTTCCCTGGGCCCTGCAGATGATTCCCGCCATATTCCTGTTCCTCGGCATGACGGTCCTGCCCGAATCGCCTCGCTGGTTGGCACGCAAGGATCGTTGGGAGGAAGCCCAGAGTGTGCTGGCTCTGGTTCACGCCAAGGGCGATCTGAATCATCCGTTCGTGGCACTCGAGCTGCAAGACATTCGCAACACGTGCGACTTCGAGAGTCAGCACCGGCACGTTACCTACTTGGACCTGTTCAAACCCCGGATGATTCACCGGACCATGGTTGGCCTCTTCATGCAGATCTGGTCTCAGCTGACGGGCATGAACGTCATGAGTGTGTTTCCCCCATCATCCTAGACCCCGGGGGGCGCGTGGCTGACCATATAGTGTACTACATCACCAACGTGTTCGCCATGGCCGGGTACAGTGGCGATGCCAACCTCCTCGCCTCTTCGATCCAGTACATCATCAACGTTATCATGACGCTGCCCGCGCTGATGTGGATGGACCGTTGGGGTCGACGACCGACGCTTCTCGTCGGCGCCACGCTCATGGCCATCTGGATGTACGCGAATGCAGGTATTATGGCCACATACGGCACCGTCGTTGAGGGCGGGGTCGACAATGTCGCGGCCCAATCCATGGAGGTCAAAGGTCCGCCATCCAAGGCGTTGATCGCGTGCACCTATCTCTTTGTGGCGTATGTCCCCAGACTCTCCGATCTGCCCGCCGTACTAATTTTGTTTCGTAGATCCTACGCGCCTACCTGGGGCCCCGTTAGTTGGGTCTACCCGCCAGAGTTGTTTCCCCTACATCTGCGCGGCAAAGGTGTGTCTCTGTCCACCTCGGGCAACTGGGCCTTCAACACGGCGCTGGGCTTGTTCACCCCCGAAGCCTTCGCCAACATCAAATGGCGAACGTACCTTATTTTCGGGATCTTCAACACGGCCATGTTCTTCCACGTGTTGTTCCTCTTCCCCGAGACCGCTGGCAAGACGTTGGAAGAGACCGAGGCCATGTTCGAAGACCCCGACGGGTTCCCGTACATCGGCACTCCGGCTTGGAAGACACGCACCTCGACGCACAAGGTGGCCCAGATGGAGCAAGGCCATGTCGGTGATTTGGAGGCCAAAGCTGTGCCGGGATCGGCTGGTCCCGGGGTGGGCCAGGAAAGTGGAAGCAGTAGCGAGCCGGGAAACGGGAGCGGGAGCGGGAACGGGGACGGGGCTAAGACCAAGGCAGGCTGATGCGTTTCCTTGGCTTAAGTGGCTAATGGAAGCGGCAGTGCCATATGTGTGGGTGGGGTGGAGAGGGGTCTAGGTAGTCTGTGCGGCGGCTCTAGAATGCAAACATCCGACCGGTTGCATTGCTTGACTGCATTCATTGTTTTGGTGACTGCCTGTCTCGCCTATAATGGAATGCCTGATTATCAGGACTTAATAGTGAGTGAATGGCGGGTGGTCCTTCACGGTGGTCTTTCACCTCTGTAATCATAATATCAATCCGTTTGCTTCTTATCAACCACTGGGTTAGGGGTGGGGTATATATACTACGAACTTTTCCATCTTTTGCCATCACCTTCATCGTCCTTCCATATATTGGAGAGTCATTTTGAGTTGTATATTGATCTATCTCTCGACCTTCACATCACCTGCCTTAAACTGTCTGTGGTACCTACTATCGAACCGTGAACAGGCCAAACCCCTCCACACCTAAAAACCAGACTTCAAATATGACGCCCAAAGCCTCCCCAAATATGAAATCTGCCATGTATCTTCAAGTGCTTATCGAACGTTTATACTTGTCTCAAATAGATATGCAAGGGCAGGACAGTTCAAGCACCATCTTCAAATTGGACGTGGAGAATACCAATGGGGCATATGAATTATCAGAAGCGAAGACAGCTGCGGCACGAGCTATATTTACACTAGTGAAACGCTTATATGAGCCATTCGTTCCCTATCCCAAAGAAAACATGTGAAAGTCCTTGCAGCAACAACCCGACGCACTGAGTTAATTCCGAAATCCTAGAATGTTAAAGGATTTGACAATGCAGATCATTCTGGTTTGTACATCCGTGGACCATCAACCATGAAAAGTCTCGTCTATCCCTAAAGTATAGAATCTCTGATCTCTCTCCTCTTACAAAAGCTTATTACCAACTTCTTTACCGTCTTGTCTCTCATATACGAATTAGACTAAGCAAGACATATGCCTCTCGCTCTAACCCTATCTCACGTACCCTGTACGACCCAGAGCAGTTGACTCCTTTGGGTCCGCACCAGAACAGCCTCCTTGCACCCGGCGTCAAACCGCAGAGGGCGAAGAACACACGTCGCTTTTTGATATGACTGGCAAGGGGAATGCAGCACTTGGTGGGCTGTGCCATACCGACGTTAAGAAGGCAGTTGGCATATTGCCTTGGCTCTATCAAAGCCTGGTCTGACCCGGCCCCACCCGCCACATCAATCAAGGAGGCAAAGTAACTTTTGAGGATCGGCTTATGGTACATAGTACGTACATGATATCTTACCTATATTTTTATGGCCACAAGTGAAGGAGGGAGGCTGATTCATGCAGCTTGATCTAGAACCACGATGCGTCTTACAAGCCTCTACCAAGCTGACTACATTGTCCTACGGCCCCAATGGCTAACCAATCCTGCGTTGAAGAAGCCATGACTGGGCTTTTTTAGACGTGGTTTTCATTCCCTTTTCTGCAACGCTGCGTGTGGTAGGCCTCGGTTCAAACATAAGATCACATACGGCTGTCGGAATCAAGCCCGTCTCTGGATATCTTCCACCGTCAAGGTAGAGATATACAAATCGAGAATATTGAGCCTCCTTTTCCCTTAGTGGACGGCTGCTAGAAACGCCCTAAAAAGATGATCAAAGATCTGCTCTAAACTTAAATTTAGAAAGAGGGTTGCCGTTCTGCCTCTACTGCTCGACCTGTTCTTGCGAGGAATTTATATATGGAAACGTGCCTATCCTGTCCGACTATATACTTATGGCGATATCATGGACCGAACTTCGTCGTCACACCGCGAACCGTCATTCCGAGCATATCGACATTTCCGACGGACAAACTACAGGTCCAACACCATACTTCCTATAATATTATAAGATCCCGATAAACAAAGGCAGTGGAAGGACCTTCATAGTCATCTCTATGACATCCTTGTGAGATAGGGTTGCCTGGCAGGGCAATGCCAAAACTGACTTTGGTTCCCTCGCTATCCTACGGAACAAGTGATGAAGCCGTTACTAACTCTACATGTTGCTTTTCGATCGAAGAGAGCTAGGGTGCCTGATTGGTATAACTATGGGCTTGATGAAGTCAAATGGCAAGATGAGCTTGTGAACTGTGTTCTACCACTGCTTCAGAGACACAGAGCTATACACGACCTCCACCGATCATAATATCGGGTGATGGGTTGCTGCATTACTAGGGGAGATGATAATCTGCAACCTCAGGACTTGGCAATTGGTTCTTCGTTATGAGATGTCTAAGACTTTACCTGACAAGATGAGCGGGCTTTGAGCTTGAAATGACAACATCCTGGCATACCTGTCGTCGCATAGTGCGTGATACACAATCATTTGGATACCGAAACAGGCACTATCATGGCAATAACCACAATGCTCCGTCGCATCTTACCACTTGTCGGTTTTATCCATCGTTCGCATATTGCAGCATGGGCATATTCTCCGTAGAGACGGAAAGCGCGTCAGGAACAAAGGATCCCAAGATCGCAAGCCAATGTCATGTGGTGACTCTCGTAGAGGGCCTGGTCTTATCTTGCGTCGAAACACCCATCAGACTACACCATCTGGGGTGGTTCACTGCACAACCTGGTTTATCGTCCGCCCAGCAAACGGCTGCGTTTGGTGGACTTCAGGTTTTCCTAGCGGTCCATTACCCAGGACCCAGCACAAACACTGCCTCTAGAGGGATACCGGAGAACCGGGTAATGCATGGATTAGAAGATGAATATCTGGGGAAAAAAACTATACTTAAACTAGCATCAAGATGGTAATTCACAAACACAAGTTTGTTCAAATCTTAGCCTCCCCCTTCAGTCCCTGGTATATCTCCTTCTCTACTCCCGCCCACAGCTCAAACACCTTCAAATCACCAAACGGAAAGACCTGGGAGGAGACCATGCCGGCCACGCCGTTTTCCCGGTCACACCACCAGTAGAGGTTAGCAACACCCGACCAGGAGACCGTCTGTCGCGAGCGGCCCGTGTAGCCGCCGCTGATCATGAAGCTGAGGCCCCAGCCCTGCGGATCGTCCGGTGTGGAGGGGTACAGGCCAGTACTGGCGGGGCACACATGCGGTTTACAGGTGATCATTTCCTTCTCACGCAGAGGCGGCAGGTGAGCAATTTGGTTCTCGAACATTTGTTCGACGGTCTCGGGGCGGAGAATTTGCCGCTTGGTGGTTGGGGATGTGCCGTTGTTGAGGAGCACGGCGAGGATTTCTACTTCGTCAGTGTCTGTTCAGATACTCGAACGGCGGTTGAAACATACGGCAGTAGTCACGCGGGGCAGCGAAGCCACCTCCGCCGCCGCTGTGGAAGAAAGGCTTGCCGTCCGTTTCGGTTCCCACCGTCAACGCACGGGGTTGGATCGGGTCGATGGCAGATAGTTGGCCGTCAGGGGCACGGGCGCTCATGTTCACGAGCCTCTGCTTCATGGCTTCCGTGGGGATCAGGCTGATATTTTCCAGGTCAAGCGGCTGGAAAATGTGTTCGTGGAGGTAGTCGTTCAGGGACTGGCCGGTGGCACGCTCGAGCAGCACGCCCGCCCAGTCGATGTTGATCTACGCGGTCAGCCTGGCTAGCGATGGTGCCGCGATCGCACTCACTCCGTATCTCCACTGCTCCCCGGGTTGATGAACCAAGGGCTGCATGAAGCCTTCGAGGGAGTTGGACATCTCGTCGAAGCCCGTCCGCTGACTGTGCTCCAGCAACTGCGGGTGCATGAACGAGTAGCCGAAGCCAGCTGGTGGTGTCAGCACTACAATGTCTCTATCAACACGCACGCCTGGTCACCCACCCGTATGGCAAAGCAACATTCTCAGGGTGATGCCCCGTTGTTTATCAACAAGCGTCCCATCGGGCTGCAGCACCTGCACGGCCTTCAACTCGGGGCAGTAGCGCTCGACCTGGTCGGAATCGTCGAGGGACAGGAGACCCCGTTCAACCAATTGCATGCAGGCAATCCCGACAATCATCTTCGTACACGAAGCAATCCAAAACACATCGTCGACGGACATGGGCTCGGAGTGTCCGTGGCCGCGGGGACCGCTGGCGCGGGAGAAGATCTCCTGGCCGTGGCGGTCGACGGCGACGACCACCACTCCGGGAACCCCGTTGTCTGCATTGGTGGCCTGGTCGACGAGGTGCTCGAGACGAGCGGTCGTAGAAGGCGGAAGGGGCGACGCTGTGACGGTCATGATTCAAGCTGGGGTGGTTGGTTGTTGAGAGTAGTGGCAACGTGGAACCCCGCGAAGAGACCTCGGTTATATAACGCAACTACTGCAGTGGGAGACGGCGGACCGATCGTGGATATGTCATCCACTAGTGTGGATTCTGGTGGATAGGATCTGGCGCGAAACAAGTCATGATCGCGAACTGTTCCTACTGAAGACTTGTATATGCTATATGCTATTTGGGACTGTCGAGAGGTACGTCCAGGATATATAACTCAGGCTGTGGCGTCCATCTGGGGACGTTCTACTATGTTTTATGGGGTGACGTGGAGCAGGAATGTCAACATCCAACCAGGAGAACCTCAGCATGTCAATCTTAGATACTAACGAATAGCCACCTACTGCATCACTCGGTGGTGGGGAAGCGTGGCTGACGACGCGGAGTCGAGGGGAGGGTGCCTCAGGTACCCTCCAGGATCACGGGACTCAGGGACCGGGTGGGGCTCCCAATCGGGTTAGCCCTCTAATCCGTCCACCAATGACAAGCCGGGATTACCATCGGGACCGCCAAGACTTCGCCTGACTGGTAGATCATCCACAGTCTAACCCAAATAGGCAAAACGCAAACTTGGCGGCCACTCCCAATCCCATTCAAACCATTCAAACCGTCCAAACCAGAGTCACGCAGGGCGATCCTTATCGAACTTCAGCTGAACACTCTGAGCTGTCTTCTCATCCATCTCTCACTCATCGGTCCCTTGACTTCATCCGATCTGACCTCCCACTCCGCAATTTGTTCATCCTCTGGTCGTCCTGGGTATCGTCATGTGGCCGGTTCTATCCCTGACTCGCATACTGTGCTCGACTGGTGTC